AGTTTCCTTTGGATGTGGCCGTCAATTCCTATTGAAGAAGTAACCAAGTAAGATGACTCAAATAGAGTCAATTATCTTATCAACTATTTATTTTAATGTTGTTTTATTATGATTTAATTGGAGAAGTTCCATCATTTAGTTTGGTATACATATACATAATTTGTTACCACACCACAACAATTTATGCCATCTTATGTGGCTCCCCTATACCCATTTGAAGTTTAATTTTAGTCTTTGATTTATACTTCCAACAATACGATTTTCTCATGTGATTGCTAGGGAAAAGAGTGAAGTGTGAACCTGGTACCAAGCAATTGAAGAAGAGCAACCATTTGGTCCTCCTTGTCACGGACTGAGCGCTTGTCATCCTCCCGAGAAGCCGGCTTTGCGAGTAGTACTGCATACCCTCGTGTATTATGCCCAAGGACCAACCCAGGAGATGCGATAGGGATCTACCTTACTTGCTTTGCCGCTCACAAACTAATGCGCTTGCAAGGTGCTTGGTGTAGAACTCGCACCCCCAATGAGTCGGTACGTGACATGCTACCACCGCCAGTCCCTGACGCCCTCGTTAGGGGGACATTACCCTGCCTGTCTCCATGCTTGTTCGTTCCCCTACCCATGGGAAACCCACCCCGCGCAGACACCACCCTTGGTGCGGACCCCACAATGAAAGTGCTTGGTGTAAGTCTCACGTACCGTCCCCATCACAGTGCCCCTAGGCTGGCTCTAATACCAATTGTCACGGGCAGGGCGCTTGTCATTCTCCCAAGAAGCCGGCTCCACGAGTGGTACTGCCTACCCCCGTGTATTATGCTCAAGGACCAACCTAGGAGATGCGATAGGGATCTATCCTACCTGTCTTGCCGCTCACAAACTAATACACTTGCAAGATACTTGATGTAGAACTCACCCCCCTAATGAGTCAGTACGTGACATCCTGCACTCTTTTATGTTGAAGCATGGATCACTGTTTGTGATGAGAGGTTACACTCAACATGATTGGCTCCATTCAGTACCACAACGTGCTAAAGCAGAGGCCACATGAATTAATCTTACATTTAGGCGTGTTTTTTGATTTATATTAGCCATTTTGCATTTTGCTTGATCTGCAAATATTATGTGTTTTGTGTAATATTTTTGTTTGTTTTTGTCATGAATGTTACTGAAAGATGTACATGTGATATAAAAGGCAGTGGTAAGATGTAGAACGAGGATTTCGCTGATCAATTAAACATTACCAGTTTTTTAAGATTGTGCTTGTATTTTGATTTTTTGAAAAAGAAATATGATGGTGTTATAAAATTGAAAAAGCTAGCGAGAACATAACCGAGGGTAAAACAAGAAGCAATTGAGTAGTTCACACCCTCGTTGTGTTGCAAAAACTCTAGAATAGTTACTCTTCGCCCTTGGAATCAGTTTGCACGTACCATTTTATATTTCTTTGGCAGAAATAAATACTAATTCTCGTAAAAGAAATATTTATTCACCATTCAGTTGTCTTAAATTTATTTAGATTCTTTATAAAAATAATGTTTCATATCCTAATTAATATACTAATAAATAATATAATATACTTTTAAAAGTATTAAATATTTATAATTTATATAATAAATAAAATTAATAATAATAACATAATACTAATTGATATAGTAGATATATAACACCACCCTTCTTTATATAATATGCTTGCATAATGCTATAAATCATTATAATAGATAGTAATTTTTTTAAAGATTAAATTAGATTATAAAAAATTTATTTGAAATATTAAAATTAAAATTCCATTTGTTAATTATATATTTTAATTAAAAAAATTAATATAAATTATTATGTTATTTTCTTACTTTTTTTAACATACTTTTCTATAAAAAGATAAACAAATTATTAAAATAAACTATTTTTAAACGAGGCCTGAAACAAACAAAAAGTGATTCGACATGCTTGCATCAATCAAGAACTTTCATTATTTTCTAAAATCTGATTCCGATTCATTACAGAGTACAAACATAAATGCACAAACAATTCAACAAAACACTCAAAATCCTCACTAAATCGTAAAGTAAACGTAGCAATTACATCACGAAGCAAGGTTTAGACACTCTCAATAACATCAACCACACATACATGACTGATTCACAATATAGGCACCAAATTCTAACCAGAGATATCAATAGACTTGATTTCAGGCTTCTTCACTTCCTCCTTCGGAATCGTGACAGTCAGAACTCCGTTCTCCATGGAAGCTTTCACTTGATCCATCCTCGCGTTTTCCGGCAGCATGAACCTCCTCATGAACTTCCCGCTGCTGCGCTCAACCCTGTGCCAAGTATCGTTCTTCTCCTCCTTCTCCACCTTTCTCTCTCCGCTAATCTGCAGAACTCTGTCGTCCTCGATCTCCACCTTCACTTCCTCCTTCTTCAGCCCCGGTAGATCGGCCTTAAACAAGTGAGCTTCCGGAGTTTCCTTCCAGTCCACGCGAGCGTTGGCGATTGCGGAATTTTCCTGGGAAAATTCGGAGAAGGGAGAGTTTCTGAAGGGGTCAAGAGAGAAGGGATCGAAAATGCTGCTGCCTTGTCGATTGCCGAAGAAGCTTGGGATCATCGACATCTTACTTGCTGCGAGGTTTGATATGCGATCGGAATTCAAGGAAAGAATTAAGGGATGTGATTTGTGGGAGCCTTAAGGACTCTGTTTGGATACCGAGAAATTTTTACACGGAAATGTTTTGCGACGAGAGGAAAAAGGGACGTGTTTGATATTTATCGCAAGTAGGGTATTGTACCAGTACTTTCGCGGCTTATCGACGCTAGCTAACGAACCTTTCGTTTTTTTTGTTTTTTTGTTTTTGGAGTAAATACTGACGAACTTTCTAGTTCGTGCGAGAAATCTCTAGACAATATGTCCTAAATCCCAACTGAAATATCCACATAGAAGCTAGCTCGGCCCAATACATGTAGTGGGCTTACCCTCCCTGATTGCTCTAAAATTATGTCTATCTATATAATAAAGAAGCTCGGTTTTTGAATTCTGATATGACGTTTATACTTGTGTCAAAATTTGAATCATTAGATTGGTTTAATCTAATGGCCCAAAATATCTCACCTCATTTGTCTCTTATTTTCAACAGACAGCCTCTCACTCTCTCTCACTCTCATTTGTCTCTCTCATTTTTCTCTTTTTGATTTCAAATTCTGAAAACGCAGCCCCTCTCTCTCTCTCTCTCTCTCTCTCTCTCTCTCCATCAGAGCCCAACCTTTCCTGTCGGAGCCCATTCCCTCATATCATCTTCTCTCTTCCTCCCTCCATCTCTCCGACGGCACCCCCCCTCTCTCTCTACCTCCAGCAGAGCCCATTCCGCCCAACCCTTGCCAGCGACTGAGCCCTAAACCCCGTATTACTCTCTTCATCATCTCTCTTCCTCTCTCTCTCTCCCAATCGTCATCAGCAATGGCAGCCCCAAACCCCATTGACGACGGAGCCGTTGCAAAAGAGGAACAGGAGAGCAAACCTGATGAAGATTGCACTCCGTTGACGGCATGTGACTTGCGTTAGCCTCAAACCCAAATTCCAAAGAGGCAGCAAACCCAAATTCTGAAAGAGGCAGCAAACCCAAATTCCGAAAGAACCCTCCAAACTCCAAGGTAAATAATTAGATATATATTATCAGAGAGATAGGTTCCTTCATATCTCATCTCTTTATGTTTTTTTATATTTTTTTATAAGGTTCAATTTTAAACCTGCACTGATGATTCGATGAGGTAGATGATTCAGATGATTCAGATGATCAGTACGATTTTAGAATTAAGCCCCATAATAAGAGTGTGGAGAGATATAGATAAATAAGGTATAAAGGAGAGTCTATCTCTGAAAAAATAGCAACAGACATACTATTAGTTTGTGATTGGTGTGTGAAATGTGCCATATGATGTCTCATGGGTACCGAATAATTTTCTTTTATGCAATGTTTAGACGATGAATTTGAATAGAGATTTGGAATGTAAAATAGAAATAAAAAAAAATTAATTTATATTTTATTCATATTTATCTCATTTTTTTTTAAATTCTTATTTAAATTTATGATCCACAATTTAATAATTCTATTTTCACGTCCAAACATGGTTTACTTCCTTCCAATTGCTAATCCAATGAAAGTAATGAAACATGGCCATTGGCCTCTATCTCTACTAACTCCGAAGTTGTTGAAGTGTAGGGAGGCTTAGACAGTGACCATTTCAACTAACAAAGATTTGATTAGGCAAAGGTAGATAGATTTAGATAGATAGATTAAATTATTACTGACAACTGAAACATAAAGGGTCAACAAACTTATAAATATGTTTTGTTTTATTAACAAAGGGTATTGCTTTAAATCATCTATATAACAAGGAAGCTCGGTTTTTGAAAGTTTTGTTTATTAATTATTTGAATTTTGAAGTTTGTTTTTAGAATTTACATGTTTTGTATTGAATTTTAAGTGTGTGATTGATTTAAAGTAATTTCATGTTTTTTTTTGTGTGTATATAATTTACGATTGATTTAAAGCACAAGCTAGAAACATGCTGTTATTGGTGCATGCTCGCATAAACAGCTGTTAGAATACAGAATTCAGAAACGACTTTGAATTAGAAATGCACATCATCAAATCATGTTGCTCCTCCTACGTCACGCTTTTCATAAGGATTGTTCCTACTCTCATCCAATTTCAATTTTTCTAAGGATGCAATTTCAGTCGACAATGTAGACCAACTCATGAAGTTGTCAAAAAAATATACATTTTGCTCATCTTAAAGCCTGTATGATACATAGAAGTATGCAAATAAATGAAAGGAGTTATTAAATTAAATACACCAATAATAACAAGAAGAGTACAAATAAATATAGTCACAAAACAAAGAATATTTGGATGAAAGACAGTTTGACTCAATTCGGTACATACATGTTGTGTAGCTCAAGACTAGGATTTTTTTTATAGTTGTGTAGCTCAATTCGGTACATTCAGGATATTTAATGGCTCATACTAAAAACATAGTGCTATCAACATAAACATGCCTGACAACGTTTCCATGCTTCATCTCTTTCAATAGAGAAATTTCTCTAATTGCCGTGCTTGGTACACCCTCATCTTCCTGCTCCAAACGAATCTTCTTTAAAGCTATAGTTTCATTGGTCACTCGGTCCCGAGCCTTATAGACCACACCATAGGTTCCTTCACCAATCTTCTCAACTTTTTCGTACTGCAATGTTCAAAAACATCAGTCTAACAAAATACAAAAATAACTAAAAAATAACTAAATAACAGGAATGAAAAGTTCTTTACCTGCTCCATCTAATCCAGGTCACACAGATCCACCTGAGGAAAAGCCCTGAAGCCAATTAGAAAGCAATAAAGATACAACAGTTTTAGAAAAGCATTAAGCATACAACTAACAAATCATATAGGTAATGTGGTACAATCAAGTGATAAGGCAGCTAAAAAAATGAATTTATAAAAATAATAAAAAAATTAAATAAAGAAATAAATAAAAATCTACAAGCAAGAAATAAATAATTGGACATAAAGTAGCCCCAGACATGAAAGGCCAAAAAAAACAGACAAAACACTTACTTTGCAAAATTCCAGTAATACGTGCTTTATCAGTCATTTCCAAATGAAAAACCACAGGTGGCCTAGCAAAATAAATAAATAATTTTG